GGAGACATCTAAGGAATAGAAGCGGGTGTGTAGGTGGGCTTGAGAGGAGGAATTTGCACAACAGTGTGGTTAGCGAGCCAGGAAAGTAATGGTGGAGGCCAGTGTCTGGGTGGGGGGCCAGAGTTGTGAGAGACCCTATGAATAGTGTGCATATGGAAAGGAGTGTGAACCGCTGGCTCCTGGGCCCTGGTACTGGGGACTTAGAGGACAAAGGTGAGTCCAGCTTTGGTTGTCCGGTAGCATGATGGTAGCAGCCACCGGAGAACTAGCTGGCGGGAGGTGGGGGAGGGGACTGCAGCTCCACAGACCAGGCCCAGAGCTTCAGTGGTGCCTCTCTGACCACCTGCCTGTTGCTGCCCTGGGTGGACACAGTAATCAAAGGGACTTTAGGAGAGAGCAGGCACCTTTGGCACCCAGTCCCCGTTACTTCCTCTGAGTTGAGGAATTAGGTAGGAAGGAACTTGGCGGGGAGATCTGTGGGGGCCTAGGTGCGTGTCCTCGGGAGAGAGGCTGCTCATGGACTTGGCTTTCGCCATTGTGGCAGGGGCAGGTGAACTTTGAGGACGTGGCCGTGTACTTCTCCCGGGAGGAGTGGGGGCTCCTTGATGAGGCTCAGAGGCTCCTGTACCGCGATGTGATGCTGGAGAACTTGGCACTTACGGCCTCGCTGGGTAAGGTCCCCTACACCCACCCTAGTGTTCTGGACTGGGCTCTGCCGCTCCCCTGTTCCCCAAGGGCGTCTAGCTCTTCCTGTATCAGAGATTGTCCTCTCTCTGACTGAGTACCCCTCTCCAGATCCAAGCACCCCTGTGTTCTAGTTTCTACCTGCTTCCTCTAGCTGATGTTTCCAGTAGTCTGCCTGGGCCAGGAACTGCAGGGACCAGTGTGGTCACTACTAGCCGAGCCCATTGAGCTATTCTTAGTAAGACCCTACTTTGAGGTTATTTTTATAATATTTAGTTTTCTTCTCTGAGTGGTGGGTTACCCAGACCAGTGCTGGCCATTTACCTGTCTCATCTTCTTCTTAGGATATGAATCTTCCATGTCCCTCGGGGTTGCCTCACTGGAGCTGGGCGGCAAGCCCTGGGTATCTGACTGGGCAGACGTTACTCCAGCCAGGACCAGAGAGGCTCAGGGTGGGTGTGGCCCTGGGGAGTGGGAGCGGGGAAGGATGTGGTGTCAGGGCTGGGTTCTGGTCACTCCCTACCCTCTCTTCCCACGTTTGTTTCTTTCTGTCTTTGGTTTCCCACGTGCACACTTGTCTTATGCTCTGAACTTTGACCTCTGTCTGTTCACCACCTCTGTCTCCATATCTCACCTGTTCCTCTGCACTGCTCCCCAACGTTGGCCTATACTTAGTGGTTATGAGATATGCACATACGCCAAACAGTCCTTAAATATCAGGTGTTCAGTGGTAGCTATTCAGTAGACATACCTTCTACACAACTCTCACTGTCCCCAGCAGCCAAAGCCTCACTGAAACCCTGAAATGCTCTTCCTGGCTTGTACCCTACATTTGTGTTCTGTCCCAGCCAAGGCCTCTTCCATCCTATGATCTTTAGATGCTAACTACTGGTTAGCAGCTCTTTATTCGTCTGGAGCTTGGGCCTCTTGTTCTGACAGCAGTCCTATGACCTTGATCTTATTTCCGTTAGACACACATTTGTAATGAGGCTGCCCTTCCCATCAGTGTCCGTTTGCACTTCACCAGCATTTGTCTGCTTTCAGGTTCTTGGCATGGAACGGAGGACGAGGAGACAGCTTTTGAGCAGAACATTTCTGTGGGTGTGTCACAGGTCAGGACTTCCAAGGCAGGCCCTTCTACCCAGAAGGCCCACCCCTGTGAGACATGTGGCCCACTCTTGAAAGACATTTTGCACTTGGCTGAGCCCCAGGGAACACACCCTGGGCAGAAATCATACACATGTGGGGCATGTGGGAAACAGTTCTGGTTCAGTACAAACCTTCAGCACCAGAAGCAGCACAGTGGAGGGGAACCCTTCAGAGGGAACGAGGGCGGCACCTTGCTTGTGAACAGCTGCCCTGTCGAACCATTGGAGATGCCTTTTATGACCGGGAAGGGTTATAAGGACTTCCCAACTAGCTCAAGCATTTTCCAGCACCGTGCCCCTCATAGCAATTGGAAGCCAAACAGTAACGCCAAATGTGTGGAGGCCTTTCACAGTGGACAAAGGCATTACGAGTGCAGCGAATGTGGGAAGGTCTTCAGCCGCAAAGACTCACTTGTCCAGCATCAGAGAGTCCACACTGGAGAAAGGCCTTATGAGTGCAGCGAATGTGGGAAAACCTTCAGCCGCAAACCCATACTTGCTCAGCACCAGAGAATCCACACTGGAGAAATGCCATATGAGTGTGGCATATGTGGGAAAGTTTTCAATCATAGCTCCAACCTTATTGTACACCAGAGAGTCCACACTGGAGCAAGGCCTTACAAGTGCAGCGAGTGTGGGAAAGCCTACAGCCACAAATCCACACTTGTTCAGCATGAGAGCATTCACACTGGAGAAAGGCCTTACGAGTGCAGCGAATGTGGGAAATACTTTGGTCACAAATACAGACTCATTAAACACTGGAGCGTCCATACTGGGGCAAGGCCCTATGAGTGCATTGCCTGTGGGAAGTTCTTTAGCCAGAGCTCTGACCTTATTGCGCACCAGAGAGTTCACAATGGTGAAAAGCCCTATGTGTGCAGCGACTGTGGAAAAGCCTTTAGCCACAAACATGTACTTGTTCAGCATCATAGAATTCACACTGGAGAAAGGCCATATAAGTGCAGTGAGTGCGGGAAGGCCTTCAGGCAAAGAGCTTCCCTCATCCGACATTGGAAAGTTCACACTGGAGAAAGGCCTTAGTATAGTAGGGAGTATACCGTTTCCTTGTGCAACATAGCAACTGACACTAAAGAGAAGCTCTGAGTTTAGCCTTCCGTGAGTAGCCATCAGCTGGAAGTTGAACCTCATACGTTTAAACATCCACCCTGGGGAGGTTGAGTCAGAAGCTTTCTGGTGCAGTGTTGTACTTTATAACATGCCCAGGACCTTTGCCAGAATTCTGTGGCCACCAGTGTCTGTGAAGAAAAACCAGCCATGTATGGAAGGGCAGAGTCCCACATTGCACAAGTCACCCCGACGTGCTCTAATAGGCAGATCTCTGCTGCTCCTCCCTTTCCTAGAGGGAATCATCAGTAGTAGAGCCCATTAAAAATCCTCACTCCTTCCTGCCTTTGCCTCCATCAGCTGGTTTAAGCAAGGATATGACTCAGTTTTGGTCATAAGCTTGCAGGCTTTGTTCTGCTGGCTGTTTGCAGAGAAGGTTTCCATTTTTCATGGACTTTGTTAGTCCCATTTTTTTTTTTTAATTTTTTTTTTCAACGTTTATTTATTTTTGGGACAGGGAGAGACAGAGCATGAACGGGGGAGGGTCAGAGAGAGGGAGACAGAGAATCGGAAACAGGCTCCAGGCTCTGAGCCATCAGCCCAGAGCCTGACGCGGGGCTCGAACCCACGGACCGCAAGATCGTGACCTGGCTGAAGTCGGACGCTCAACCGACTGCACCACCCAGGCGCCCCGAGTCCCATTTTGCACTTAACGATGAATTTATCCAGTCTCCAAGTCACCTACTTTGGGAATTGCCTGCCTCACACTGTTCTGTTTTTGCAAGCAATACCTTAGTTTTCCAACTACCTTTAGTCTTGGGGACTCTGTTCACTCTGTGGGTTGTGCTGAGAACAGGATTGGGCTCTGCCGGCATGAAGGGAGGAACAGGTTTTGTGAGAACTCCAAATGTTGTGTCTCAGTGGTGGTAGCAGAATGGCAAAGAACAGCTCTCGTTTTAGTTTTAGTCTAACTTGCATCACTGCTCAAGGCTGTCTATGAAAGAATACTGATCTTGGTGGGTCTAATATTTTGGCCTGTATTCCAAGATTATTTGTGTGGTCAAGGTCACCCCGAGTAGTGGGCAGTTGTTGTGACAGTCTCTGGTGTTCTGGGAGCAGTTTGAATTGATTCCCTTGTTCCAGAGGGATGTTTCATGTTCCCATATTTTCTTGAGGAGAACTTGGCCCCTTGAGACCTGCGAATGGCCCTGAAATCTACTATTCGTAGGAAGATGTCCCTGTCCCCTAAAAAGACTAGGTAGGAATCCTGATTGGTACGGGGACACTGATTAATAGGGAATTGGGAGCAAACTGTAGGGAATGTGACTCTTGTAAAGGTATATCCACATGTTTCCATCACTGTGGCTTCGGTATGAGGGCTTATGGAAATTCTCAGGATTCCCGTATTTGTGTCTCTTACGGCTACTGTCACTGTCAGCAACCTACATTTTCTGCAATAAACTGTACTTATTTATAGTATACAATTCGGTTAGTTTTTTTTTTTTTTTTAATTTTTTTTTTCAACGTTTATTTTTGGGACAGAGAGAGACAGAGCATGAACGGGGGAGGGGCAGAGAGAGAGGGAGACAGAGAATCGGAAACAGGCTCCAGGCTCCGAGCCATCAGCCCAGAGCCTGACGGGGGGCTCAAACTCACGGACCGCGAGATCGTGACCTGGCTGAAGTCGGACGCTTAACCGACTGCGCCACCCAGGCGCCCCTACAATTCGGTTAGTTTTGATAACATGTTTGCACCTGTGAAAGCAAAGTTTTCTGATTTGCCCTCCAATCCCTCTCCTCCTTACCCATTCCTAGGCAACCACCCATCTTGCTTTCTGTCAATGCAGATTTTATTTCCTAGGATTTTATATGGAAAAATATACATCTACAGGTAACACTTTAATATGTGCTCTTGTGTATATGGCTTTATTTAACTCTGCATAATTATTTTTGTCGTTCATTAGTCTTTTTCTAGAAGTAATTTTTTTCTTTTTCAGGAAATGACTTATTCTATAGGTAACACAGACTAATCCTGGTATAAGTAGAAGGGGGCCCCTTGACAGAATACAAGGAGGTAGGGATTTCAGAGTCTCTTGTATGTTGGTTACCACAATCATAGTTTTTTTTTCTTTACATTTTTAGTCTTTTAATGATTAATTACATTGACTAATTTTCAAAAGCTGAACCCACTTTACATTTCTGCAGTGAGCCCCATTTGGTCACAATGTATTCTTTTTATGTATCGTTGCATTTATTTGTTGTGTTTCTCTTCATAAGGATTTTTGCATCTATGCTCATGAGGGATGTTAGTCTCTAATTTTCCCTAATGCCTGGGTTTAGTTGGTATCACCATAATGCTGCCTTTACACATTAAGTTGGTTAAGTATTCCCTGATTTTTAATTTTCTGGAACAGTTTTTGAAGAATTGGTATTGTTTCTTTCTTTTGTAGAATTCACCAGAGAATTAACTGGGCCTGGAGTTTATGGGAAGATTTACAACTACAAATTTAATTTTCATAGTGGATATAGATCTATAGACGTTACCTTTTTGCCCCTAGAGTGAGCATTAGTGATTTGTGTCATTCAAGGAATTCAGTTTATTCAAGTAGTCAAACCTTTCAAACTATTCTCATTATTTTAGTACCTATAGAATCTTAAGTGATGCCACCTGTCTTACTCCTATGTTAACCTTAAAAATAAAACTTCTAGTTATTTTACCAGCAGAAAATGGGTTTATTTAGGAATAGCTCAGAATTGCAATCCAGGACGAGCAAGTTTCGGCAAAACCATGGGCAAGTCTAGAGAACAGAGATGAGAAATGCTTTTTTTTTATTGAGGAAAGGGGAAGTTGGGAAGAGCTTTTATACACTGAAAGACCATTGGAGTAAACTGCAAGTTGTAAGTATAGTGGCTTCTCACTGGCTGAGCTGTTGCCATCTCTCATTGGCTGGGTTGTTGCCAGGGGAGGAAGAGATCTTCCGCCTGCTGAGATCACGAAGTTGCGTGGGCTCAAGCTTAGTGGATTTTGCCAATATCAGTTGAGGATCTTGCCCGTAAAGAGGATGGTAGCTGATACAATAGGAACAAAACGATTAGCTCTCCATAGTCTGCTATAGTGCTGTCAGAGACAACGAATAAAAGATGTCACATGGTCTCTTAATTCCCCTGGTTGGCTCTTGTGATTATTGCTGTAAAATTCTAGAATGATTCACCCCTTTTTGGGAGAAAGTCTGGCATGATTCTTCTCTAAGAAATCTCAACCCAATAAATGAATAGGGGCAGAGTAAGGAGAAAAAGAGTGAGTATCTCAAAGGGCCTAGACAAAAGGGAATAGGTTCAGACCCAGGGACCAATTGGAGTTTAGTAGAGACGCCTACTGCTTGAGCCGCTCTAGTATTCTGACGCAAGGACTGCTTTGTAACAGTGGGTCCAAACGCTGCAAATCTAGCTCATGTCATTGGCAGAGCTTCATTTCCAACCTGGAGAGGGGTTTCTCCAAGCTGATTGAGAGGGACAGTTGGGAAGAGCCCCTGTGGTTTCTCAGACCCTCATCACTGAGAATTAGGAAGATACTGGAAAGGCTGACTGAGGGCTGAATGCACCTGGGGTACTTGAATTTGTAGCAATCTTTATTTTTTTTTGAAGCACAACTAAGAGTTCATGGCACCCACCCACCCCCAATTATCAGCAGTGCTTAAAAGTGTCCAAATTCCCCTCTCTCCCTCCAGGATCAAAGCTCTCAGACACCAGGGAACACTACTTTGCAGCAGAATTGTTTCATCGTGCCCCTGTGTCTTCATGTATATTTACCACACTTAACGATGAGCCCTTCCCCAGGCAATGTAGGACCCAGAGCTCTGTCCACATCCTCCCGCTCTCCAGAACACAGTGCTTGATGGGGAGAAAGGACGGGGGTCTTTTTTTTTTTTTTTTTAAAGATTTTTCCTTTTTAAAAAATATTTTCTAATGTTTTACTTTATTTTTGAGGGAGAGCATGAATGGGGGAGGGGCAGAGAGAGAGGGAGACAGAATCTAAAGCAGGCTCCAGGCTCTGAGCTGTCAGCACAGAGCTAGACTCGGGCCTGAACCCACAAACCACCAGATCATGAGTTGAGCCGAAGTCAAGAGTCGGATGCTTAACTGAGCCCCCCCCCCAGGCTCCCCAGGAGGACTTTCGAAGCACCCCAATGATAGCATCTTGAGAATAAGTGTATGGTGGTACCTGGGAAGCCCACGCTTAGCTGTGGCCACGCATAGTGGTTTGCCTGTGAGAGTTCCAGGAGCTTTACAACACTTCACAAAAAAATTTATGAAATTAAGCAATGAGATTTCTTCTCCATGTCTGTTTTTTGAGTTTATTGGGAACCTTGCTCAGCTATGTGTTTCATTGTGGTGGTTGTAGCTGTGATTTGGCAGCTGGAAAACTGCTGAGGTTGACTTAGAAGCCCCCGTGTACTCAGGAGTAAAGCACCTGAGAAACACCAGGAGGAGGAAAGAATCCAGACTTGCCTGCACGGCTGGAACTACAGGGTTCTCCCCAAGACTTTGGGGGAAATGCAAATCACCCAAACCATAGCTAAGCACCCACCAAAATGGCCCCCTCCCCAAACCACTCTAGGTCCACTATCCCTGAAGCCAACTCAGGCACGCTGACCCCTCCAGCAGTCTGTAACCACCCCCGCCCCTCGCTCTACCCCTGCCCCCTGCCAGCTTCACACTGACTCCTGGGCCTTCTTGGCAGCATTTCCAAGTTAGGTTTTCTGCCACCTGCGCTTGGGCTGATTTGCTCCCATCATGTATCTTTCCGTGTTTACATTCAGGATTCAAACCTGGGTGAGTCTCCACGTTGTGTCAAGGTGTGCCTCCAGCTCCCAGTTCTGACCAGCAGCAAAGCATCATCAAACCTGCGGGGATGGGACCAGGATGGGGGGGACGGGGGACTCTCTCCAAGCCAGGTGGAAATCACCTTGTCACCCT